AGAACGCTCCCGCACTCGCCGCTGCGAGTGTGCTGTGTTGCCATTATAATGCATACATATATATATATATATAAAGCCCGAGTTTACGTGTTATCAAGGAATACATAGGAGCTTATGTATACGTCTTCACAATATATATATCCCGAGGTTACGTGTTATCAAGGAATACCTAGGAGCTCATGTATGTATTTCTAGTGCAACCATGTTACACAACTGGCAGTGCCTGCGACATTTGCCTGGCATATGTCTTGAGACTCGCACACTTATTTGTTCTCATGCTAATCACATCATAGTCGCATTTAGAAACACTGTTAGGCTCATCGCCATAGTTACCATTATCTCATGAACAGTTTCTGTCTCACACATCCCTACTGTCTTCATAGGGTGCATGCGTGGGAACAACTCATGGGCGATGTGACATGTGTAAAACGTCATATACCTTGATAGATCTGTCGCGATTTTTCTTAATTGCCCTCCGGTATAATTGCGCGAATAATTAAGCGAGGTTATTATCGATTATGTAATCGATATTATCGATGTGTATTCGATTACGAGTTAATTCGGTGGTACAGGTATAGGCGTGAATAATGTGATACAACCTTTCGTAATCTTTCAGAGCCTGCACTCTGGTGCAGCTATACTCTGTCGCAGAGGTTCAATTTTCACACCAGATTTTCTAGAATGTAATTTCATACGATGAAATACTATCAAGAGAATGGCGTAACGTCATTAGATTTGTGTAATGCCGTGGTTGATAGAGAGTCGGCTCATTAGAAAGACCTTTAGTATGATAATTAACAAAAACGTTTAACATTTTTCTTACGTGAACTGACATGCATAAGCACTAGTAATCAAACAGAATGAAAAACGGAAAATGGACGCACTCTTTGCATGCCGTGTAATTTTTTTCGCATCGATCTTCCTTTTTTTCGATTTTTATGGCATATGGCAATCGTCACTTGCCAGATTCAGTCGACAAGAAATGGAAATTCCACATTGGCGGAATTATGTGTACGCGTGCGAAATGCATTTGAACATTTTGTTACCGAAACAACTTTTCTTGACTAAGCTTCACACGGGTTACAGATACACTGCGAGTTTAAGCCTATATTTATTAGGCATATTCATGATTTAGCTAGCGTTATTTATGACATCGATTTAATGTGATTATAGCTGGTATATATTTGAGGCTATTATATGATATTTCCGGTGAGATTCTGTAACGGCAAAGTACGTCGTTGCTAAACGCTTCTAAACATTGGTAGGCGTAGAGTAGAGTAATGCGTGGGTTTTTGTCTGTTTGTAGGACGAATATGTTTTTGTTAATGCTTTTCTTTAACGTCGCTGGCAGTTATCCCATCTGTGAGGAGTCTGAGGTACACGTGTAATGGTACGCGCGCGTGTGTGTGTGTGTGTGTGTGTGTGTGTGTGTGTGTGTGTGTGTGTGTGTGTGTGTGTGTGTGTGTG